CAATAAATTCTTTTTCTTAATATATAATTTCTTTTATAATGTTTCATGTCAGAATTCAGGATCATAATGTGGCATTTCATTTGAGTACCTCATCAGAGTATTTAGGGATATATTTTAGGGATATAAAAGCTAAACTTTTATAGTAAGAAAACTTGGGATGGGTTTTCCCAGATTTGGTTTTAGAAATATGGTGACATGTGTGTTTTCTCTCTCTCTCTCTCTCTTTCACACACACATATACAAGTTGGAGCACTTTGATTGTTGATGTAATTCATTGTGAAAAAATGCAGTTATATTATTTATTTTTCCACACTCAGTTTATTTTGACTATTTATTAAAGATCTTTAAAATTTATTTTCTTGAACATCTTTGTATGTAGATTGTATTATGAAAGTAATAGTTATTATAGATAGTTATTCAATATTAACTCATCTTGTATTTGTAAGCAGTTGGTTATCAAGCTAGAATCTTTAAGTCCTGGTATTTTCTGGTTTTGGTCTGTCATTACTTGGTTCTATAATGAAATATATATATATATATATATATATTTCCTGACTTGTGAGTTAAGTCTTAACTCAGGATGAAGTTCCTTTTAAGTTGGCATAAGAATAGGGGAGTCAGGGAGCAGTGACAGTTTTCTTAATTTGGGTCAGTGTGATGGTAGCTCATGCATGTGGAGTCAGAGATGAAGCCGAGAAGAAAGCCAACTCCTCAATACTGTCATCGCTGTGGAAAGGGCATAGTAAGACCGTATATTTAAGAATCATTTGTGCTTTATGAAGGTTTTTTTTTTTAATGCTTTTACCATACTTAAAGAAAAGCTGCACGTATAAACATTCCTATATGTCCTTTCTAGAGTTGTCAGGTGTTTATGACATTTTACCATAGATTAACCTTTTTTTATTATTATTAAAGATTTATTTATGTATACAGAACTGGGATACAGGCCAGAGGTGTAGGGGTGGTGAGATAACTCACCAGAGATAGAGTGGGGAGCTGAACAGGCCAGCTGTTGAAGTACTGCTGAGGGAGTAGTGGGCGGGTCAGAAAAGGTCTACTGCGCCATGTGGGTCACCTCTGGGGCAGGGATTGAACTCACGCTTAAGTGGCTTTAGTTCCTTAGTGCTGTCCTTTAAACCTCTGTGCCAACAGGGAGGGCCCAGTTTTCCCCTTTCTTAAAAAAATATATGTATATATGTATACAGATACATACATACACACATATATAATGTTAATTTTTACTAAATTACTTTAGTTTCTGGTATGATATATTTAATGATATATATCTTAATTTTAACGTCATTCTCTTATTCATTATTATGCTGTCATTATGGAAATCAGACTATAGCTTTGATTTCACCAGTATTTGTTTTCATGGGGCAAAGTGTACATGTTATGAAAGCACAAACTTGAATAACTGAGACTTGAGAGAAATTAGTCCTATTTACTCGTTTACTCTCTTTAGAGTAAGATTTCTGATGTAACAAGATTTATACAAGATACACAAAAGGCACTTAAAAGACAAAGAAGTCATTTCAACCTAGGGAATCAGAGAAATGTTATTTAACTGTTGCAGAGTCAACCCAGGAGAGATTGTGGTGCCCTACTGAAGGACAGTGGGAAAGATCCACATCCTAAAATTCATCCTCCATATTGTGTCTGCCCTGGAAAGTTATGAAATGAATGTGTTACTGCAGTAACTCAGTAGTTCAACACAGGATGCATAAGATGGGCTCAGTTTCTGAAAAAGTTGGTGCAGTATTTTTCCTTTTTTAATTAACAGTTTTTACCTCTACTATATTGTGTAGAAAGAGATAGGTTTCCTTTCCTAAGCACTTGTTCTTTGGTTGTTTTTCAGTAATAATCTTCTTTATTATGAAAGACAAGAAGTAATGGAGTTGATTAGCTGTAATTGCTTTAAAGGAATGGAAGGAATGTTTTTAAAAAATTTAATTAAGCTAGTGTCAGTCTAGAGTTTAAGGGACAGTCACGTCTTTACATATTGAATGTTAGTGTGTACTCTTTTGTATTCATCAGAAGAGGCTTTATAAGGCATTAAAGAATATTATTTTTAGATCTTTCCAGTTAAAAATATCAAGAAATAAAATGGACACATTAAGACTGATAAGATTATAGTAGAATTTTGAAAATCCAGTTACTGGAAATTGTTTATGATTACTTGGATTCGTTAGTATAAAAATTTTATAAATTGTTTTAAAATAGGTTTATAGTGCCAGCTATTTTTGTGCAGAAATCATAGAACTACTGTATAGATTTTTATTTCATAAACATGTTTTAAGAATTTCTTTTTAAATTTATGTAAATATTATATGTGAATTTTAAGTTTTTAAATTTTTTTTAGTTCACATATACATTGTTAATATTTGATACTTTTTTTTTTTTTTTTTTTTTTAAAGATTTATTTATTTGTGCATACAGAACTGGGGTACAGGCCAGAGGCTCAGGGGCGGTGAGAGGCTTCACCAGAGACAGAGTGGGGAACAGAACAGGCAGATCGACGAAGTACACTGCTGAGGGGAGCAGCGGGCGGGTCAGGAGAGGTCTGCCTCGCCATGTGGTCACCTCCGGGGCAGGCGGGGATAGAACTCATGCGGAAGCGGCTTTAGATTCTCAGTGCTGTGCTTTAACCCGCTGCGCCACCAGGGAGGGCCCAATATTTGATACTTTTACAGGGGATTTCTATAATGGAATATCAAACTCTTTTCTTTTGTAAGCTATTCTTGTTTTCTGATTAAAAAGTAAAGAAAGGGAATCTTGATCATTTCCTTGGTATCTAGTTTTCTGATCATGTTTTCTTTTAGAAATGAATGCGTTTTGACAGTACCTTATTAAAAATACTGTAACTTATATGAATTTTCATATAAGTTTCATATAAGAAACAAATTTTCTCATCTGATATTTTATTTCTTCAGCCTGGCCTGTAATTGCTTTGGATAATATGTACAAAATCAACTCTTCCATTAAAAAACCATAATTAAATAATTATTATCCTAAGAGGATTTGTAAGTGTTGTACCAGTATTAGTCAAGGAGCTATAATGCTGAGATTGTGTACTTGAAGCAAAACATAGATGTGCTTTTAGCAGACCGAAAGCATTATCTACATTCTTCGATCTCAGTCTTAAACTTAGTGTGCTAGTTTCAAAGCAGCATTTAATGGCTCTGGAAATTTACCTGATCATTTGTGGCTTGTTCATGATGGTCTGTGGAATTTAAAGAAGTGTGTGGTCTGTAAAGTCAGAAACGTAGCATGGTGCACTGATAATTGGGAGATTGTTCATGACATTTGGAACCCCCATAGTACATTGATCTTACATTCTCACATTATTATTAAAAGATTCGTGTGTGTGTGAGATTCCCCAAGCATAGTTAAGTAATGCAAAGCAATATCTTCCAATCTCACTATAAGCTATTTTCAAGTATAATGTTTAGTATTCACTGAACTGATATATCATAATTACTTAATCTCTTTTTTTTTATTAAAGATTTATTTATTTGTGCTTACAGAACTGGGGTACAGGCCAGAGTTGTAGGGGCGGCGAGAGGCTTCACCAGAGACAGAGTGGGGAACAGAACAGACTGACTAAGTACACTGCTGAGAGGAGCAGCGGGCGGGTCAGGAGAGGTCTGCCAGCCATGTGTTCGTCTCCGGGACAGGCGGGGGATCGAACTCATGCGGAAGTGGCTTTAGCTTCTTAGTGCCGTGCTTTAACCCACTGCGCCAACAGGAAGGGCCTCCTTAATTATCTCTTATTTCTGATCATTTAAATTCTTTCTATTAAAAAAACATAATTATTATCTTAAGAGGATTCGAACGTGTTCTGCCAGCATATGTATCACTTTTTTTTTTTTTTAAAGATTTATTTATTCATACAGAACTGGGGTACAGGCCACAGGCTCAGGGACGGTGAGAGGCTTCACCAGAGACAGAGTGGGGAGCAGAACAGGCAGATTGACGAGGTACACTTCTGAGGGGAGCAGCGGGCGGGTCAGGAGAGGTCTGGCTCGCCATGTGGTCTCCTCCGGGGCAGGCGGCAGGCGGGAATCGAACTCATGCGGAAGTGGCTTCAGATTCTCAGTGCTGTGCTTTAACCCGTTGCGCCACCAGGGAGGGCCGCATATGTATCACTTTTACAGAAACTAGATCAGTTATTACATTCTGGACAATAATATAAAAGAAACTCATGTAGAATCTAATGAAATTGGCCATTGCTTCATGATACAATCTTCAGTGAGGTGACATTCAGGCATACCGGAAAGTCTTAGTGTTCTAAGAGTCTTGCTTATGCACTTAAAAGTACTAACTTGGTATAGCCTTGGGAAAGTTGGGACAATCATTGTTCAAATCATTTTTAATATACTCAGTATAAATTTCAAGCTATGTGGCCATATGCAAGTCATCTTTTTTTTTTCCCTCCTCAGCTTTGCCATCTCTTGTATGGGTATGCTAGAATTTATCTTCCAGAATTACACGTTTAAAGGATCCATCATTATGATTAGTAGCCATTCTTGCTTTTCAGTTGATTTAATACCTACTGAAGTGGCTAACTGCCATATAGAAATCAGCCTTTGCCACTACTGCTTTCTCCCTGCTTAATATTCACTTTGTTGGAAGCCATACTACCTGGGAGTTACAATACAAGACCTGAAATGACAGACTCCTGGATTCAAATATCAGCCATGCTGCTTAGTTGTGTGGTATTGGACAGATTATCCTCTTTAACCTTAGATTTTTTTCAAGTGTAAAGTAAGGTTATAATACTAATGAAAATTAAATGGACTGTGGCTTGTATTTTAAGTTGTGGCTTGAAATAGCATATGCTTATTACTTCCTTTTTTCTGTGGAATGGGAACTGAGGCATAGCTTTAGAGAGTGGTTCTGATGCCATCTCTTACGAAGTTACAGGCAAGATGTTAACAGCACCGTGGTTACCTGTGCATTATTTTGAACCTAATGAGTATACATTTTACATTTTGCAGACTATGTCTTCAGCAGTGGTGCAGTTATATGCAGCAGATCGGAACTGTATGTGGTCAAAGAAGTGCAGTGGTGTTGCTTGTCTTGTTAAGGACAATCCACAGAGATCTTATTTTTTAAGAATATTTGATATCAAGGTAAGTTTTGCTGTCACTTTAAATTGTGAATGGTTCATTTTCCCGCCTCAGTTACAACTAAGTATAGATTTGTTTAAGCTATATGTAATATTTAAATTACACTTTATATTAGACAAGTGAAGCTTGACTTTAGCTATGGGAACAGGGGTGTTGTGACCAAATTATATCTTTTCCTAAGCCAGAATGTAATTTGTTCCTTATTTTTTTCTATTATTGCCATCACACATTAATGAAGATTTTTTTGTTTTTTATGCCTTTGGGTCTTTGACTTTCCTGACATTCTCTCCTTAACTCCTGGGATTCTTTTATTCCATCCTGTCCATACAAAGTCCTCTCAGGGAACTACAGAAGTATACCTTAGCATGTAAAGTTATTGGTTTACTTCAGCCCAGGTTTAAAACACTATACAATATCTGTAATCTGTTATTTTTTCTTCTTACGATGTTTTTCAGTCTAGTCACATTCAGACTTTCACAGCTTGGTATCCCTTACTTGCAAATATAATTCCACATTGTCCTAGATTGGATCCTTTGTCAGGTATTCCTCTCTTGCTGTTGCTGTAAAGGTGGTTATTTTTTTTTTGCTGAGGTGAAGTCTCAGTTTATCTTTTAAAACCAGTTTCATAGATAATCCTCCGTGCTTATATGTGGTAATAAGTATCATGGGATTATAGTTACAAAAAGCCAAAACTGACTTTGGAACTCCTGGAGAGGACTTGTGGCCAGATAGATTATGGTCAAACTGTTTTAATTCCTCTGGGCCTTTGCTCATCTCTTTGTACAGTGGGATAGATCATCTGAATTTGTTGCAGTTTGTCCCTGAAATTAAATGAGATTTGAGTTGCCAGACTTTGTAAATGAGTGCTTCTTAATATCTGTGCTCCCCTACAGCTCAGAGAGATGAGAAATATGAATACTCCTATTGCTAATGGTGGTGATTCAGAAGCACAGCGAACATGTGCATAATTGAAAAGATATCCCTAAACCTTTTGAAATATTTCTCATCTCCAGTTATAAACACTCTTTAGAAAGGGAATATGTATGTCTGTGAGAAGAAAGGAATTCTATTATAGTGATCATGCTGTATGTATGAACAGTGTATTTTAAATATTTTTGAATTGTGGTTAAACCTTGCATTTCAGAATAGGGTAGTGATTATAATTCTTTAGCCACTTATTTCCAATTGCGGGTAGCCCGTGCTGAATACATGTAATTAGCCTCCTTTGGTACTAAGGTTAATTATATTTCTTATATGACAGTCATCCCTGGCTTATTTAACCATAGTTTTAACCTTGGTGCACTTTAATAATACTTCTCTTTCTGCACATGATTTAGTACTACTTATTCCAGTGTTTATTGAAGCTACTCTGCAAAAGTTAGGAAATCAGTGAACATTAATAAGCACTATAAAACAGGCATATCTCTCCTCCCACCCCCCCAGCATTTACAGAATTGAAGAAAAGGACATGAAGTGTACCAGTAATATTTGATAGCAAGCAGTCAAATATTGCTGATGTAACAGCCCATTAATAAGCAGTGCATATACAAAAGTAGCCCCCTTCTAGCTAATACTAATGACCTAGTAATTGTTTGAGATATGGATTTGACCAGATAATTATACTTGGGAATTTTTGACTAGTGAGATTATATTTTAACATACTGAAACCTCATTTGATATATAATTTTGAAAGAAATACTGTCCTGGCTTTTACTGCTTTTTTATCAAGAATTTACTGGTTACATGTACAAATATGTAGTATATGTGTATGTAAAAGCTGTTACTAATATAAACAGTTAATCTTAAGGCAAGTCATGTGCTTTGTTTTATTCCTAGAGTTGATCTTTTTGGTAATTCTTATTTTAACTTTTGTCTAGGATGGGAAACTATTATGGGAACAAGAGCTATACAATAACTTTGTATATAATAGTCCTAGAGGATATTTTCATACCTTTGCTGGAGATGTAAGTCATCTTTTTCTGTATTGTTCTGTGTAATATACTTGCTTTTACACTTAGAGAAAGCATTTGTGAACTTTTATGTACTTTACTCTTACAAAACCTTTCACATCTATGACAGCTAAGTAGGCAGAAATGGCTAGTATTTTATTATTTTAAGGGTCAAAGTAAAAAAAATTTAAAGAGAGCTGCAAATTAAATTTGTTATGTAGGAAAGAGGTTTGTTTTTTTCATCCTTTCTCTGGAAAGATAGTTTACTCTCTATTACTTTGGGCAAGTAGTTTAGCCTCTGAACTTTAGTTTCTACTCAGTAAAAATATGTCTTAGTAGTTCATGACCTAGGAAGAGTGTTGAACTATAATAAGAAATGAAGAATGGGAAAAAAGAAGAAATGAAGAATGAGAAAAGTTAGGTTTTCTATACCATATTATGTTCATAGGAATTTGACTAATGGAAAATTATGGGTGATTTTAATTTCCTCTGTTTCCTAAAATGAAACATAAAGTTTGAGTTAGATGACCTGCCTATCATTTCATGAATTATTTTGTTCTCTGGGTTGTTTTTTTTTTTTTTTTTTCTTATTTTTCTTGATAGGATACAAATGTATTTATTTAAATAAGTGCTCATTAACTGCAGCAATAACAACAACAGTCATTATGTTTCCACATTTTAAAAAAACTTACCAGAAGTAAAGTTATAATTTAATTCTTGTATTGAGTTAAGACATAAACAGTGAAGTTAATCTGCCCTTGACCAACTTTTCCAGTTTTTGTCTTTTCTAGTTGAAATTATTTGTACAGCTTCAGTGGATGACCAAATTTATTGTTTTGTTTTTCTGTTGAAGATGGCGTATTATTAGATTGATAGGTTAATTCAGGTTAATAGTTCACTATGTACTCTTAGTTAACCTTTCTAATAGTCATGTTCTTCATGATTTTTGCCTTAAGTTATTCACATCATAAAATTAGTTATTTGTAAACTTGTGATTTTGTTATTTTCCCTCTTGATGAAAATATTTCAGACTTGTCAGGTTGCTCTTAATTTTGCCAATGAAGAAGAAGCAAAAAAATTCCGAAAAGCAGTCACAGACCTGTTGGGCCGGCGACAGAGGAAATCTGGTAAACTTTTAAAAAAAACTTCTTTAAACAGTGGCTGGCAAAACTGGTTCATGGGACAAATCTAGATTGCTGCCTATTTTTTGTAGATAAAGTTTTTTTTTTTTAAACACTGTGCTTGTTGCTTTACATATTACTTGTGCTGTTTTAATGCCACAAATCAGTTGCATAGTATGACAAAGAGTGTAGCACATACATTGCCTAAAATGTTTACTATTTCACCCATTACAACAACAGGTTGCTAAGCATTACCTTAGAAGAAATATTTTTGTTGAGAACTAACTTTTTCAGATTTACTGGACTCATTCCAGTAACATTCCTGGAATGACTTTTAAATTTGTGTTTTAATGGCATTTTTCATAATTTAGGATTTTAAATACTCTTTGGGGACAAAGGCTTAATTGGGCAAGTCTAGATGCAAATAAGATTTGTAAATGAACTTTGTCTCTATTTTATTCCCAATGTGGTAGAACTGTGAGAAACTGAATTAGAAACTGAATGTATGGCAAAGATGATACAAAGTAGTATAGAGATAGAACCACTTGGCAATATAGAACACGAAACTTTCCTCTGGAAGGTACTTAAAAAATCATCTCCAAAATCATCTTAAACAGATTAATTTATGGAAAAATTACATACGAGTGTGAGAGTTACAAGTGGATTTCCCTAAAGCCAGCCATGCTCTGACATCCCTTGAAAAGACTTTCTGTACATCCAGGACTACTTGTTATTCAATTTTGGTGATCACTGTACTCAAGAATGTGCTTTTCCAATAGCAGGAATAAGCTGTGAAAAAGAAGAACTGAATCTGGGGAATAGGAATGTAAAAGCAGGAATGTTTTATGAGTTTCCAAGAGGGCAGTGAAGTAAAAATGAAAATAAAGTAACTAAGTTGTAGCCTCAGTATTGTCATCTTATTATACCCTATTCATAATGAGCGAGTAGGAAATTATTAGGGGTCTAGTTGTCTTTTGTTAACTTCTTTTAGTATTTGCCAATTTACCCCATGCTAGGAAAAGATTGGTGCTATAGAGTAATTTACAGTTTGGTTCCAATTCCAGTGACATGTAGTGGTGCTAATACAGAGACTCCGTGGGGCTTCTTCTCATCAAAATATATGATCTTTTCAGTACCACAAAAAGAATTAAAAAAAAAATTTGAAGTATAGAATAATTGCCATTGAAATTAGTATGTCACTTAACAGGTGTCTTTGCCTTAGTACAGGAATTCTGTATTATGTTGTTCCCAGGCTTTCAGGAAAAGTGTTTCAGAAACAGAAGGATCACAAAAGTAGAGAGGCAATTGATCACTGTTGGGTGACCTTTTATACCAAGTCAGTTTCCATCCAGCCTTGCCTGTCCTTAACCTAGATGCACAGGGTCCACTTTGGGGAGTAGCAATTAGTGTATTATCTTATTCTCCCAACATTAGACTTTGAATCTACTGCAGATTTGTGTGTGTGTGTGTGTGTGTGTGTGTGTGTGTGTGTGTGTTTCAAATGGGTCAGATTTAAAGAAATGGCACAGGCTTTAATTGTGTTACAGGTTTTTTTTTTTTAGTGCCATACTCCAAAAGTAGCCTGGCTAGTAATAAGGCATTAAAACATCCCTTGATTTGATTAAACACTGTTCTGCAAATGTTTCTAGCAAATACCTTATACCATTTGTTCTTTTTTTTTTTGTTCAATCACACCCTCTCTTTTTTCACAAGTGGTCTTTAAGCCAAGAGGTTATCATATCTAGTAAATGCTTTTTAGAACTTGTACTCTGAGCCTCAAATTTATCTCTGTATCATTTCTCTATCCTTATCAGCAATTTAAGAAGTATTTCCTCTCTCAATGCAGAGATAATGTCATCCTTGGGATTGACATGGATAGGACTTTGTTACCTCAGATGTCTCAGAAAGTTACTTTATTAGACCACCAGATGGAGTGATATGTTTATACTTCTCATCTTTGGGACTTTTAATATCCTCCCAGTCAAGTGTTAATAATTTTAGTTTATAACTTTTATAACTAATTACTATATAATTACTTATGTCTTTTTTTTTACAATTTTAGAAGTTTCTACATTAAAAAACCTGTGAAAGTAACTCTTATTTAAAATTCTTCAACAATTGCTGAATATTCTTAAACCTAAAATGATATCTAAGAGTATGAATGCAATGAATTGATAGAATTTGGGGTTTCCAGACTTTGCTCCTGCCAAATGGATATAACTTTTTGGTGTGTGCCCCAGATACCTGTGGGCACTCTCACTACCTTTTTTGCCTTTGTGCTTTCATCAGTTCTGTAGTTGATTTCTCCTAAAACTTTCTCCTCTATACTACTGACTGCTCCCTGATTGTCCAACTATTTACTCCCATTCAGTATCAAAATTGCCTTCAAACAATCTACGTGAGCAGAATACTTGATCCATGTTCCCCAACGCTAGTCATACCTATTCTCTCCTATTCTTCCCACCTCAGTGAAAGGGATTGGTTCCACTTTGTTAATTTGGCTCACTGTGGTCCCTCAAAAGTCCTTTCAGTGAGTCCCATTGTGTCTACCTTGAAAAATATGTCCTAAATCTATTTCTCACCAGCTCTGCTACTACTGTAATTCAAGCCACTGTCTACTCTACTCTAGCCACTTTTTTAGTCTCCCTCAAGACGTCTATGCACCCCACTGTTGCGTTTCCACAGAGACGCTGGAGTAAGCTTTCAGAATATAGTTCAGGTTATGTCACTCGCCCTATTCAAAACTGTTTACGGACTTCTGTTACTTCTGGACTACAATCTATATTGCTTAGCGATTGTTGTGGAACCCTACACGATCCAGTTCCTGGTTCTCCTGACTTACCTCCTTCCATTCTACCTTTCACTAAACCCAGTCAAGTCTTCATGATGCTCCACATTTCCTCCTTGGAACCATTGAATAGGTTGTTCTTTCTCATTTTTTTCAATGTCTGCTCAAATGTCAGTTTCTCAGAGAAACCTTCCTTAACCACCTGAACATAAACTTAGAAACAAATAAACTAAGTGAATTAATTTTATGTTGATACCTGTATTATATATGTGTCTGATAATATTTCTTTGAATTTATTTTCTAACAGAGAAAAGACGAGACCCCTCCAATGGTAAGCTCTTTGATAATTATTGATTAGAAAGACTTTGGTTTATAGTTTAATTCTTGTTGAAACACATAATCTGCATTAATACCTAGTATGTAATATCTTTGATCAAGTACTATTGCTTATTGTTCTTATTTCAAAATAACATGGTAAGTGAGACTTAGAAATGTACTCCCCTGTTTCTACAATGAGAGAGTACATTTAGAAATGTACTCCCCTGTTTCTACAATGAGAGAAGTACATTTGGTGCAGGTTACTGATACTTATATTTTAATTCTGTGTTTATAATTGATTAAATTTAGAAATTATACAGTCTGGTCTTAATATACTCCTTAATGGAAATACATTGTATCTGGTGTATTTGTTCATTTCCTACTTTAAAACTGAATTGTTTTCCTTATTTCAAAATATTCTTTCACACTGGTAATAAGAAACTAGCCCCTTTCAGCGTACACTTACTTTGATAGTATGCTTAGAATTAATAGCACTGTATGGGTCCTCTATGACTTGAATACAGGCATTAGAAGTATTATAGATTCATTTATTTAAAAAGAATATTGTATATATACCAGGCAGTAAAAACAGAATGTCAAGATAAAAACAACAAAATACCAGAGTTCTAGAACAAAGATTGTCATCATAGACTCCATAAACTAAATCTGAAATTGTGTGCTAAATTTTATAAGTGTTTTTTTTCTTTTCTCTGTGGAGAGAGGGTCCATGGGTTTTTCACACTTGAATGCTATCTCTGTCTCGTTACTCCAGGGCCATTTGTGATGAGGGAAGTAACTATACTCCTGTTGCTTTTTATCTTCTGATTTTGCCTTTTAAATTTATTTTCTTGCTATAAAAGCATAGACCAAATTTTGCTCTATTAAATTTTGTTTTTTTTACCTTATGATTAGAAAACTAGAGTCTAACTACCCACCAGGGGTACTTACTTTTTTTTTTTTTTTTTTTAAAGATTTTATTTATTTATTTATTCGTACAGAACTGGGGTACAGGCCAGAGATGCGGAGGGTGAGAGGATTCACCAGAGACAGAGTGGGGAGCAGAACAGGCAGATCGATGAAGTACACTGCTGAGGGGAGCAGCGGGCGGGTCAGGAGAGGTCTGCCTCGGCATGTGGACTCCTCCGGGGCAGGCGGAAATCGAACTCATGAGGAAGTGGCTTAAGCTTCGTAGTGCTGTGCTTTAACCCGCTGCGCCACCAGGGAGGGCCAGGGGTACTTACTTTTAAGTGAAGACATTAATGCTTTGTAGGGCTGTTAGAGAAATTAAATGAAGTAACTAGAGTGCTTAGATAATACTTAGTATTAGTTGTCATGAAGACAATGACAATAATAGCAGCTACTGTTTAATTAAGGACAATTTACTGACTACCAGGCACAGTACAACAACAATGAAGTATACTTATGAAGTAGCTGCTATTAGCCCCAATTTATAGATGAGCAAACTGGGACACAGATAGGTAACTCGCTCAAGGCTACATTACTAGTAAGGGTGGAGCAGGGTTAATCTCAAGCTCTCTGACTCTGGGGTTTGGTTCTTTTACCACTATGCTATGCAAAGGTGATGTTGACCTAGAGAGGGTAGGATGTCTCAGTTTACACAGTATATGGCAGAGGCAATTTAGAAGTTATTCATCTGTGAACTTTTAATGTGCTGTTAGGATTTTTCTCCTTGTGTGTGCTCAGCATTTTAATTTCTTTGAATTTATTAAATTACTTGGCACTCGGTGAGCTTGTATGGAGTGCAGTAGGGAAGGGCTCCCAGTGGTGGCATCTTGAAGAAAATAAGTTTAAGGTGTAATGGTGTACAAACAATAATGTAATTAGAGTTGATGGTAGATACTTTTTAATTTGTTATTTTAAATACATATAGAATGTGTTTCTGAAGAGATGTCTAATGTATGAATAAATAGAATGTGTTTATTTTTATGGGGTGCTGGTGTCTCACAGTTTTATTATCCTACTGGGAGAAATACTCATAATTTTAATGTAGTTCTCTCTTTTGAGATTGCTTCTGCTTTATATTATAGTTTTAACCATTTGGTGGAGTGGTCCCAACTTCATGAAGAGTTAAAATTAGTACTCTTAAAGGGCAAAATTAGATAGTGTATTGCCAACAATTGGACTTTTTACTTATTCTTATTTACAACATATGTGTAATGTGGTATTTATATACTACATACATAATGAAGAGTGAAATAAGTAATACTAGAAGCCTGGTATTTTCCTGCTGAGCAGTTGGTTGTCTTGTGTGGCCACTGCTGTGTGGGAGATGGCAGTTACAACCCGTATTCTGCGATTGGCCACTAGGTGGCAGTGGTCCCCTCGACCACCTTGCAGTGTCTGCAGGTGCTTTGCCTCAGATCCTCGTTTAGATAGTTCAACTGACTTTTTGAAAGCGTAACTATTAAAAAGACACCTTATGTAGAAGTAACACATTCCTGAAGTGCAGTTCAGTGTCTTCCTCACTAACTCCTATTTCCTACATCTTTCTTTTTTCTTTATTGGCCAGTCTCATCTTTTAGTTTAGATGCTTTCCAATGATTTGTTCTCAGCTTCATGGCTGCATGACATCAGAGGCCTCTAGGCCACCTGTTTCTCAACTGTTTTACCTTGGTGAGAGTTCTCTGCTTTTTATGTAATTAAGGGGAAGAGTTTGATTTGTTTTTTCAACTTCACAATTAATTAGAAATGCTGTTCATTGAGAATATGAAAACTTCCCAGTAACAATCATCCTTAATTAGGAGAAAGTAATTTGTCACTTGACTGTTTTTTGGGAAAAAAAAGAGGTAAACAGTCCTGTCCATTTTGTATTTATTTTAGTACATGTTCTTAGGATGAGTGTCATTTCACAAATGGAATAGTTAAACTTTATTAGAAATTAAGAGTACCTTTGCTGTGAAATTTTCCACAAACTTACCCTTGTAAAACAATGGCTCTACTCCTTATGCTACTTAACCTTTTTATTAGTGTCACTTTTGCAACAAACTTTTAATTGGACTTAGAATTTGGCTTTAAGCTTATTTCCCAAACTTACTTACTGCTTTCAAACTCTGAAGTTAATGACAAGCTTTGATATAAAATAACCAAGTGTCTAACCTCTTGGATGTGTTAAAACCTTTTCCTAATTTTGGAAGTTTACTAATAGGTATCTAATCAAAGATGAACAAATTATAAGAGCTAATAATTTGGTAAAGATCAATAATAAGTGATAATTTTTCTGATATTGTCTTTCACCTTATGGTTTGACTTTTGTGTGAAAGTTGCAATATTTAACAGGATAGTAGGCTAGGAAACTCTCAGAGTTCACCTTTGCCTTTGTCACCACCTGTGTGACTTTAGACAGGTCACTTGACTCTTCTTGCTCTTAGTTTTCATCTGTAAAATGAAAGACTTAGAAAAATTCTCTAACTTTCTATCCAATGCAAATTATCTATCTCTATAATCTGGATTTTTCTTGTATAGACTTAAGTTTTGTTCCTGTCTCCTCATCTATGAATATTCTTCAGAGATGACAGGGTATTTTCCATAGTGAATTATGAGTCAAGCTTATAAGAACCTTAGATTTGTTTCTCAGCAAAGAATTTACTAACTTGAATAATTTTAACTAGTAAACTTAACTTTACCCAATTCTACAACCATTTAGGACATCCTTAGTGTGAGATTACTTTTATGTAAGCTACAGCAGTCTAAGAATATGCTTATTTCTTCCTAACAGATCATTATAGTGTTAATTATTTTTTAATCGTGAATTTGGTTGTTCCTTTTGTAGTTGCTATTTGGACACCTGTTTCAGAAGGATAGCATGTAGAGTGCTTAAATTTGTTACTCCCCTTAAGAGTAAATTGTAATTTCTTCCACTTTATTGTGAATGGTGTGGTTGATAAATTCTAAAAGAAGGCAGAAAGAGAAGAATGAGAACTAGAAGCAGATTACTTGGTAAATCTATGAAAGTATAGGTATGACCCCTATCCTGGTCTGGGTAGTCTCAATAAGCTTTATAATTGTGAAAGGACAACGAATGCTGAAATTCAACAAATTTGAAAGATCCAAGTCTGTCTACTATTTAATTGCCTTTTAATTCTTGATCTAGTTATTTTCAGGTTATCATGACACTGAATAAAGGTGTAATGACTTCCTCCACATATTTACTAGTTTCATTTTTTTCCAAAAATAACTTATTTTTTTTGCTGGAAAACATACTTTCCATCGAATTTTGCATGACATTATCAATAAAACTTTAAGACATTTACATATTATATGTAGACATATTACTGAGGGAAAATAGCTAAATTTTAGAGATATTAAAAATGTGTATCTTTTCAAATTAGTGCTTGCACAGAAAGGTGGCAGATAGCTTTCATAATTTAGCTCTATTTTATCTTTAATAATGGACTTGACAAGAGAAAATAGGTTATATATTATTTGCCCATATACATAAACATTTTTCTTTTAGAAAACTTTAATGCATAAGGATATACTGGACATTTTCAGTAATTTGAAGAATTACTACTAAATTGTTATTTAGGTATCACTTAATATACATTAGTCTGTACTTTCTTAGGGTTCATCTTGCCTTTCTGTGATTGTGTTGGGGTCCCCAAGACCACACCCCTGAGTTAGTCATTTGATGAAAAGACTTAGAAATCCAAGCATATGGTGGTATTTAAGGCAAAGATTTATTACAGTATAAGAATATAAATAAACAAAGTAAATGTACAAAGGGTTATGTCTGAAGTAAACCATACAAACTTCCAAGAGTCTTCTCCTACAAGAGTCACAGGGGATGTACTTAATTCCTCCAGTAGTAGGTGGTGATAATATATGTGAAATGTTGTCTCAAAGGAGAAGCTCATGAGGGACACATTGCCTCTGGCTTGTTGGGGGCTAGTGACATAGGCATTCTCTGTCTGGTACATATCAAGTGACTAAAATCTCAGAAGAAAAGCTGTCATTTAACATAAACTGCCTTGTTAGTGCAGTTTAGGCATAGTGAACCTTGCCATCAGGCCATGAAGGGAACAGTCTAGAAACCTACATTCTTTGATTGTCAGTAAGGGCTAACCTAGCAAGCAATCTTTTCTAATAATAGTAACCTCAGGCCTGCTGTTTTTCTGCAGTAATTATTATATAATATTTTGAAAATTGTCATTGTATTGGAGGAACTTGGTCGAATTGGAGGTTTTGTAAGAAATACATTTATTAAAATGGAATCTCTGAGAAACATATATTTTCCGTTACTTAAATTATAAGAAGTTTTTTAAGTTGAAGAGATTTCACTCGGACTCATGCTTTTTAATATCAAGAATATTTCTGTGTATAAAGTACATGTTGCATTTAGTGTCATTTTTGAAGATGTTATTTAAAAATGTCTGCAGGTGCCGTATGTATTTTTACTGTTGATCCATGTGGAAGATGAGTATTTGGCAAAAGTTTTCCATCTTAAGTTTTTGGTATCTGTATTTCTGTTAGTCAAAGTATCTGCATACTGATAAGGATACTGTTACAGGACTTAGTATGGCAGTTGGGGAAAAACAGTAGTGATGATTGCATAAGTACTTTTTTTGCTAAATGCAGTACTTAACTTGAACAATGTTAAGACTAGATTTCTTTGTATCTCTAAAACAAAGTAGATGCCTCTTGCTGTTTTTGAAATTCATGCAGTACTTTTTCCATTTTTTAAAAAAATAGTATGCAAATTTTAAATTTAAATTGCGGTAATGAAGTGGGTCTACTTCAGTAGATAGTTAAATCACAAATTATAGCGATCTTAGAGTAATAACTATCTTGAATTACATTGCTTTCACATTATTTTCACTTTATTTGCAGGCCCTAGTCTACCGATGGCAACAGTTGATATAAAAAATCCAGAAATCACAACAAATAGATTTTATAGTCCACAAGTCAATAACATCTCTCATACCAAAGAAAAGAAAAAAGGAAAAACTAAAAAGAAGAGATTAACCAAGGCAGATATTGGAACACCAAGCAATTTCCAGTAAGATAGTTATTCTGTTATCTTTATTTCTGATGTATTCATCACTGCTCTTGATCTTTGACTTGTTAATAAATTTTGTTTTCATTTTGGAAGGACCTTTTTGTTACAACATGTAATACCTTTTTAGCTATAGGTTTTGTCGGATAATTTTTTTAAGCATGTTGCTTATTAGACTTTCTGTGGATCTTAGCTTTTTTACCTTTACACCCATCAGAAAAGAAAAATGAGATAAAATTATTTCTTTAGTTTAATGTTGGACATAAGATGAATTTTACTTTATAAATGATATTTGGGAATTACCGAAAAGCATTGTTCTACTCCATTTTGTCTGTAGTACAGAGTACTGCATAGAATGGGTGGCTTGTAGGCCAGAACTTCACAGTTCTGGAAGTTGAAGAGTCTAAGATCAGGACATTAGTGAGACTTGGTGTCTGGCAAGTCCCCACTCCTGGTTCACAGGCTGCCATCTTCTCACCTAGCTCTTCTTGGAAAAGGGCAAGGAAATTATCTGGGACATGAATGGACAATAATCCCATTCATGAAGAACCTACCCTCATCCCCTGATGACTTCCCAAAGACTTCATCTTTAAATACCATGTCACACTGTGTACTGGGTTTCAACACAGGACTTTTCAAATAACATACATATTCGCTCTGTACCTGATACCAGTCCTATGGCACATATATTTCAAGCAATTTTGTAGGCTTCTTTTCATTAGCTCATTATGAAACTCCTGTCCTCTCATATTTATAATGGTTGTATTTTTATACTAGTTTGACAGTTAAAGAAATGGATGCTTAGAAAGATTGTACAAAAATGTTAATATTTAGAAGAAAGGTGAGAATTTTCATCTCCTGGGTACCTGTACAGTTTTTCCTTTTTTATGTCTGTGTATCTATAGTTGGGGCCAAATAATTCAATGAGTGGATTAGATTTCATATATGTTTTAATGTCACCTAGGCTTTTTATCTTTTAATTCTTCCTTTGCCTTCTACTTTAGGCACATTGGACATGTTGGTTGGGATCCAAATACTGGCTTTGATGTAAGTGTCTTTTCAGACTATAAGCATTATTACTGTATGTAGGAATGGTATGGCTATTTGTAGGTTTTTATTTTACTTGTTTTTGTGAATTTCGGTGTGTTTTTGAATGTATTTTTTGTATGTTGGTTTGAAACTATAATTTTCTTTCATTTATGGCTAAGTTTCTAAGATAAGGTTTTTGACTTCCTATGTGGGGTAATGAAAATATTTGTGTTTTAAAGGCCAAGAGAAGAAAATTATTTTTTTATTATTATTATTTTTTTTAAAGATTTATTTGTGCATACAGAACTGGGGTACAGGCCAGAGGCTCAGGGACGGCGAGAGGCTTCACCAGAGACAGAGTGGGGAGCAGAACAGGCAGATCGATGAAGTACACTGCTGAGGGGAGCAGTGGGCGGGTCAGGAGAGGTCTGCCACGCCATGTGGTCACCTCCGGGGCAGGCGGGAATCGAACTCATGCGGAAGCGGCTTTAGATTCTCAGTGCTGTGCTTTAACCCACTGCGCCACCAGGGAGGGCCGAAAATTATTTTTGATAAATGATCATTTCAAGGAAAAATATGCAAAATTGTGGGAATTAGTCAAATTCTGAATATCCTAAATTGTCTTCATCTTTTCATTTTACTATTTATGGCAATTTCATCATTAATTATAGCACTATGAGCAAGATTGGTGAAATTGCTGGTAAAAATTAGTGTTTTCAACATATCTTTATTTTGGTTACTAAAATAATCTATTTCACATTTGACAGATAATCAGAGTTTGGAAAAATTATTTTTAAGAGAAATATTTGTGATTTCAAAATCCTTTTTGGTTATTTTTGTTATACTACAATATTAGTTACACAGATATTTTATCTATGGGAATTAAAGTACATTTTTGTGTTGGACATTCTACAGGCTGGTTGGGGTTATAAAGATAGATATTGACATTACTCAGGTTTTTGATTGATTTACCTATTTTTGGTGTTAGTGATTAAATGTAAATATTGTTTAGGACAAGTCAACTAAGTGAAACTTAGAGCTGTCTGTGTTATGAATGACATAGTAAAAAATCTAAGTGAAATAGATGACCTCTTTTTGAAGATAATAGATAAGATAGAAAATCTGTTTTTTGTCCTTATCTGTTTTGCTTTTTAGAAGAAAGTTTTGTTAGAATTTAAATAATAAAGTGAAATAAAATTTATGAATGTAAGTTTATAAAGGGCACAGATGGGAATTAAATTTTATTATGCTCACATTTAAAAATTGGGATAGATTTTAGGGTAGATTTTATAGTTAGCATTTATTTTATCTGTTATAGCTGAATAATTTGGATCCAGAATTGAAGAATCTTTTTGATATGTGTGGAATCTCAGAGGCACAACTTAAAGACAGAGAGACATCAAAAGTTATATATGACTTTATTGAAAAAACAGGAGGTGTTGAAGCTGTTAAAAATGAACTACGAAGGCAAGGTAATTTTTATTTTTATTTAGGAATTTCCACCTACTTTTTCTTTTTTAAAAGATTTATTTATTTATTTACTTATACAAGAACTGGGGTACAAGCCAGAGAAGCAGGGGGCCAGAGACAGAATGGAGAACAGAACAGGCAGATTGACTGAAAATACTGCAGAAGGGAGCAGCAGGCAAGACAGAAGAGGTCTGCTGTCCCATGTGGGTCGCCTCCCTGACCAGGAATCAAACTTGTGCAGTAGTGGCTGTGGACAACTTCATAGTGCAGCGCTTTGACCCCTTGTACCACCAGGGAGGGCTCACACTTTTTCTTTCGAATTTTTTGATGTTACTTTCATAGAAGAAGCTATATACACATTCATATGAACTCTGTGTAAGTAGAAGGAAAGGTAGTTTGGCCCAGTATACTGTTACATTATTTTGGTATAATTTGACAATGTGTTGCTTATTAATAACAAATTTTGTATTTAGTTTTTGAAGATCCCTACAGAGTCTGGCAATTCTGTTTGAAAAGAAAAAATTTTAGCTGCCTAATATTTTTCTTTATGAATCTTAAGAATTGTTATTATTAAAGTTGTTATTATTATGACTAATAAGTAGCTATTATGACTAATAAGTCTTCATTTAAATATAATCATTAAATTAGTAACATATATATATTTTCAGGATATAAATGGTATTATGTTTTAAATTACAAATATTTTTTCTTAACTTAAGTATAAAATTTGTCATTTGATACCTAAAACATAAACAACTTGCAACTTAATATCTGCTACTTTCTTTAAAGCACCTTGTGTTATAGTTATGTCTTAACCATTATCACAATAAAATACAAATATAATAACCTTAAATTTTCCAATAAAACAGTCTTAATCATTTTAATCATTTGGGGTTGCTTTCCTTCTTCCTAGTTTTTATACTATGCTCAGTATAGACAAACAAAATACTTTAATCAAAACATTCTTTTTAAATGTCATTTTTCACTGCTGATATTTATTCTGTCCCTAATTCACTCATTTATTCTTACATTCAGTAAACATTATTATATCAGTACTCAGTTTTATATAGTATGTTTAGATAGAAGGATATGGTTTCTGCCCTCAGAAATTGTATAATCTGGTATGGAAACAACTATAAATCAGTAGGTGGTCACAGTTGCTATGGTGGAAACATACTCATTCTACTAAAAGTAGTGTGATCCTAATTTTTCTTATTTTTTTTTTAAAAAATAAGAAAATTTCCAAATTTATTTTAGGGGTTTTTAATATCTTGGGCACCAAGATGCTTTTAAATGCTCCTAGGGAGTAGGTCGGAGTTATTGTTAAAATGCAGATGATAGAAGGTCCTGAGAGCACTCAGTTCCTTGCTGCTTCTCCACTGTTCCCACCCACTGTCCCCTTCCACAAGGCTCAGGGACTTTCTGAGCTCTCTGAATTTATATGTTTATAAATTACTCTTGGCATTTATTAGACCAGCCATACCACTGCGCTCTCTCACCTGAACGCCTATAATTAAGTGATGACTATATTAATCTGATTGGGCCTGTTTTTTAAACTTTATTATTGATTTTTACTTTAACTGTTTTAAAAGCATTAAGTTAGGCAAGTCTTTGCTCAGCACAAACATAGTTATTGGAAAACATGCTTTGAGAACAAAATTATACTCAAGAATGTAACTCCTAGTGCAGAACTTTAATAGACACCAAAGAATGGTTTTATAGAAGATACATTTTTTTAAGAAGGAAGAGTGAAAGACATGGTAGTTAATTAAGAAAATGTTTTCTAGGAAGAGCACTTTTTATCTTTAGAAGCATGAAAAAAATTAGAAGGGGACAAGTTTATGAAGTTGTTTTAAAAATATTCTGTAAAATCTGAATGAATGTCTTGAAACTTATTTTTATACAGTCATGTAATTAGGTTATATAAATTAGGTTTGTGATTGCCATTGTTTCTCTTTTTGTGTGTCTTTGCTATTTTTTAAAGTCCATTAACTCATAATAATCTGCTCTGTAGGTCCACCACAATGGAGTGGTATGTATGTGGGCTGTTCTTTGGCCCAGTGTCCTAAATATGCATGCTGTGATGTGTTTATTTTGAAAGAAGCTAGAGTTCTTTTATCTTACCTCCAAATCTAACATCCAGTGAAGTTTCCTGCTCTCAATTTAAACAAGTGTTTTGGGCATATAGATGTCAAAGTAAAAAGAAAATTGATTTCTTTATAAGTTAGAGCTCAAATTTCATTTATGACTTAAGAGAATTTGGTTGAAATTCTTTGGAGTCTTGAAAAACAACACGTCTCTTCCAGCACCACTGTTTTTATTATTGCTTTCACTTCTTTTTAGTGCTTTTTGTGCATGTCATTATTTCAGTAACATGTAAAATGTACTTACATTTTATATTACATTGGGATAAGGAGAGAAGACTATAAACATTTAGGTCTATAATTCAAGGGGTTGTCAGAATTTCATTAAATTTAAATTTGTGTTGAGTAACACTTCTTTGTTTACTTCGTTAGAATACATGAAAGTGCTTAATTTTGATGAATTTTAGAGTACACTTTAAGTGTTACTTTATAATTTCTGTGTATAATTCCTATAAATATCAAATATCTAGAGTTAGCTACCAATTACTCTTTATACTGATCTGAAATAATCCTTATTTTTAAGTAACCTGCTTTATAGTATAAATCAAGACAAGATTTTCTGTAAGCTTCATTTTTCTTTAATGAGCTTGTAATAGTAAAATTAACCTTTATTTGTTGTAGCTTTTGTTTCATGCTTTTTAATTTTATTTCTTTTTGAAAAAATGTAAGACCTGTTGTCTGTGATACTGGTGTTTGTGGTGACTTACAAATTTGAAAACCTGTAGGCGGTCAGATTTTCTTAGAGTAGTATATGTGGTGTCTGCTTAGGAGGTTATTTCTGTGCATGTAGCCTAATTAACACCGCACCACCTGCCCTCTCCTCTTCGTTTTAATCGCTTCACATTTTGCTTTGGGATATGGCATGTCTTTTGCATGCTCTTCTTTTTGTATCAACATATTACAGACTAAAAAATAATTGGTAATAGGCATTCTTCTCATGAAAATAATAGAGAAGTTTCTAATCACTTTTCCAAGATAATACAAATGGTGAAAATCTGTGGTACCCAAAGTGGATGCAGATGATAATTTATTCACTTAAATTAAGGCTCTCCCTTCCCCTGAGCCATAGTGACTGAGTGTGTACTTAAATGGGTATTTGTTAGACCCCAAATTACACCAATAAATATACTCTTTGCAAGTTCAAAAGAACACTAATTCTGTCTACTGAAGAAATTCATCATTTTGCCTATATGATTATGGATCTAGTGTCCTCAGTAAAACCATGTAATGTAGTATTAATAGAATAGGGTGGATCTTTTTCCTCTTAATTAACAAACAACTGGCTTAAAAATGCCATTTTAATTAAGTATTGCTATTTGAAGTAAAAACCTAAAGCTTATTACAATTAAGGTTTATGTTACTTAGGGATTGTATTGTCTTATTCAGGGATTAAACACAATACATAGGTGCCATATCCTCTGTGGTTTGCCCTTTCATTATAAAATGTATTTTTTTAAAAAAGGACCTTGCTTTTAAGTAATTTAAGTCTCCTTATTTTTGATCTGGTGATTTAAAAAAAAAAAAAATTCCTTAGCTCTAATAACCAGACCTCCAGTATGTCTTGTGTAAAATCATAGGAGCTTCCCCTCTGAGGTTATCATATCTAACAGGATTAATGCTCTTGTTTGTTGCTGTATATTATTACCAGTTTTAAAAGCGTGTATGCCAAGGCACAGTGCCTGTGTTGGCCTTTCTGCGTCTTGTGTTTATGATTAAATTTGGTAGCATATTTTCACAGCATGGTTCCAGTGATTGAATCAAAGTGAGGGATTTTTTTTCCCTGTCTGGTGTTGAATTATTGAGCATCAATAGGCCTGTTGTTATTTGTAACTAAGGTAGGTCTGTTTGTATAGATTGTATGAATATCCAGCAATAACATATTAACGTTTGTGTCAGTAATACAAATAGCTATTATGGAGCTTAAGGTTTCTCCTAAAAGTAGTTAATTTTTCTATTCAGTCTTTAAATGATTGGAAAATAATGAAGTCATTGGTTTATCCGTTTCTCTATACAATTAGTAAAAGCTTATCTCCAAATTGTTGTAAATTTGTACTTAGATGTTATATTGCTGTTATTTTACACTTTTACATAAGTAAAATAAGAATGTAAATACCAATACTATGAAAATAATATTTTATTAATAATTCTAAGTATGCAGTATGTAGAAATTTTGTTAATTTGTTAAAAAATCACTTCATGACTCCTGAATATAATGGAACAATTAACCTCCCTTAAGGCCTTCAAGGGAATTACTGATCATCTTTTAGGAATAGAGGACATTTATTTGTTAGAGTATATGGTATGTTACATTATCTTTACCTATATACTAGGTATATGTATATCTTATGTTTTATATATATATTCTAGAAATGTAGTGCACTATAAAGTTTAAGTGTAACTTAGATGAGGTTATGCTATTTAAATCTGAATGTAAATTTATAAAAATATCTATGCTTGATTCCTTATAGAAGGATGGTATCCATTAATTTTTATTAAAGTGTGAAATTAAGAAGTGTTTATTCCCTTACCTCTGGAAGTGGTGCTGATTCCAAAAAATGAGATTCTATTGTTTTAGCTAATATTTTCTCAAGAAACAACAGGAAAATGATCTTGAATGATCTGAATATTCCCAAGTAGAATTGTAAGATATCTGTGCTCATATATCTTTGTAAAATAAAGATGAGTCCTTCTTTTTTCCCTGGTTTTTTAAATATATATACATACACACACACAAACCTGTTGAAGTGAGATACTTTTTCATTGTGATGTTTGTGGGGAAGAAAGAAGCATGCTTTTTTTTTTCTGTTTTTATTTCAGCACCACCTCCACCACCACCATCAAGGGGAGGGCCACCTCCCCCTCCTCCCCCTCCACATAGCTCAGGCCCCCCTCCTCCACCTGCCCGGGGAAGAGGCGCTCCTCCTCCACCACCTTCGAGAGCTCCCACAGCCGCACCTCCACCTCCGCCTCCGTCCAGGCCCGGTGTGGGAGTCCCTCCACCGCCGCCAAATCGGATGTACCCTCCTCCACCTCCAGCCCTCCCCTCCTCAGCACCGGCAGGGCCGCCACCTCCACCTCCACCCCTGTCAGCGGTACCACCCCCACCGCCTCCGCCTCCACCCCCGCCGGGGCCACCCCCTCCTCCTGGCCTCCCCACTGATGGTGACCATCAAGTTCCAGCTCCTGCAGGAAACAAAGCAGCTCTTTTAGATCAAATTAGAGAGGGTGCTCAGCTAAAAAAAGTGGAACAGAACAGTCGACCAGTGTCCTGCTCTGGAAGGGATGCACTTTTAGACCAGATACGACAGGGTATTCAGCTGAAATCTGTGAGTAATCTGTTCTTTTTATTTTAAGCCTATCTGTCAATAGAACTTTAAAGTAACTTACAAGACAACTCTGAAAATTTTTTACTTTTTCTCTTGGTATTCACATTTTTAACCCAGTGAATTTCTGACCTTTTTATATACCATAAAATTCACAAACATACCTGCACCACTGTAACCCTATTTATGTATCAAAATATTACCCTGGAGTTTCCTCATCCCTCTCCTGATTGTTCCCTCTCCCAGAAAGAATCACTGATCTGACTTCTATCACAGTAGATTAGTTTTTCCTGTTTCAGACCTTGGTGTAAATGGAATTTTACAGTAAGTTTGCAATTCATTGTTCTAGGCTTTACCTTTAAAATTAAAGTTGACTTAAAGAAAAATCTTTATTAAACTGTGGAGAAGTAAAAATAGCTCTACTTGAAAACAAATGTAATCACCTTGCTAAATTCAACTAGTAACTTTATGAAAAGTAAACCATTTTCTCTAGTTTTTCTGTTCTGAAATTTAGGTTAGTAGAGAATCAGACTCCACCAAAAATTGAAAAAGATTTTTGACAGTGATGGTAGATAATTTTGTATTCTCCATATTGAATGAAGTGTTAAGAACAGGAGTGGGTAAAAAAATTTTTTAAGAACCAGGTAGTAAATATTTTAGGCTTGCAAGCCACATGATCTTTTTTGCAACTCTTTAACTCTGCTATTTCATGGCAAAAGCTGCGGCCATCAGTAATACATAAATGAGTGGTAATGATTATGTTATAAGAGCTTTATTTATAGAAAATTGCATGTTAGGTAATTTTCACTATCACAAACACTCTTATTTTGATTTTCTTTCAACCATTTAAAAATGTTAAAATCATTCTTGGCTTTAGGTTACAAAAAAATAGGCCATAACCTACATTTGATGCATTAGTAGTAGGCCTGTACCGTAGAGCCTAGCCTGCTTACATTCATAGATAGCCTTCTGGAAATAGAAAATAGCAGTATCGCCCATACTTCTACAAAAGGGGCATTTTGTATCAGAGATTTAAGAAATTTCGGGTATTTAAGATGTATCTGGCTTTTTTCTTGACAGAAATAGGGATGACACTTTATGAGCAATCACCCTGCCCTCTTCCCCAAGGTTTCTCAGGAGCTGTTGAAGAGCTTGAATAATTAGGATGGAGAAGTAGTGTCAGAATGACCTCAGCCCAGGTGAACAGGAGGTTTTAACAGGGTCCTTGTTTCTAGCTCTTACCTTCCAGTCAGCGCTCACGTCTGAGTGCCCCTTCCCAACCCTTTTCTCTATTTCCTCTCTTCTCTATTTTTACTCTTTTCTCTATTTCCTCTCTTCTGCAGTCAACTTCTGTTTCTTTCTCTCATTTAGTGCTAACAAGAAGGTGCTTTATATTAATGAACTCACTTGTGTCCTTTTTGCTTAATTTAAAAAACTGTTGACTTCTGTTTTCTAACTACTCACCCCATCAATTCTTCCTATCCCAATCCCTCACCTTCTTTCCTGCCTCCTTACCCCCCCTCCCAAAAAAAAAAAAAACCCTGTGAATTGATCTCTAAATTTCTTTTAGGGAGAAATGTGTCCTTCACTCTAAATTTAGGATAGTTAGTCATCTTTATCTTAACTAATCATTTTCCTTTGATTGTAATCAGATAATTGTCAGAGAACATGTAACTGGCAAATCATTGTGTTACACTTGTTGTCTGAGTCTATAATTTTACTTTATTTAAAGAAAATAAGCATTCTTTGGTTGAACTATCTCTGTTCCTTTAAATGTTTTATATAAATGATCAGTTTCTTTTGTAATGAATGTGACTAACATAAAACCACAGATTAAAGTGCTGGCAGGAAGTATGTATTTGCTTACATGCATTTTGAATTCCATGTCCATAGAACTTCAGATAGTACTGTGTCCTTATAAATAAGTGCTTCAAAGATTCATTATGATAGCGGTGCTCCTGCTGTGTGGTCACACTGCTTACAGGGAGTTTACATGCCTTTGCTTGCTGCTGTTCCACATCTCTGAAAGCTTCACCTTGAAATTCACAGCCTTGAAACCATTTGTGTTCTCTTCATTTTTGTGCTTCTATAATAGTTAATATACAATCTCTACTGACTTAAAGTCTACCTACAGTAGTGCTTTCAAATGTTTTCCTCTTGAGTCTCTGTGGACTTATATGTGCTCTGGGGCTCCCTCCACCCTCAGGTAGTTTGCAGCAGAAGTTAGTTTGTGTAGTAGACACATTTTGAAAGCTAACTCGTGTCCTTAAGGATAAGGAAGGTTCATTTTGAATTATTAGGAAAACTGAGTTTTTCTAGAGGAACATGTCCCTTCAAGTGCTCTTAGCTATGGTAAGTGTGCGTACATCCCAGCAGCTCAAGAATGTAAATATTACTATAGCTTGATTAAAATGTCCTGTGTGAACAGTTTTATAGTTTCACCAGCTAGGGTTTTGTACAATGGAAGGAACAGAAGTAACTCATTTGTCAGGCAAATATTTTTCAGGAAAGGATTTGAGTGTTACTCTACATTGGGAAGTATCCTAATGGCTTATCCATAAAGAAGGAGAGGAATTAGATTTTGTGTAGTTTCTTCTTTAGGCAGCATTTTATTTCTTTTTTTTTTTTTGTAGTTGCCCCTGCCCTAGACTTACTTGTCTTGTTCTGCTTTACTTGTAAAATAAGAAGTAATCCTATGAAAATAAGACTTACTAGAACGAAAAAGATTTTTCTAATGATGTATTACTGAATTTTGCTGACTTGCTTTTTAAAGGTCTCTGATGGCCAAGAATCTACACCACCAACACCTGCACCCACTTCAGGAATTGTGGGTGCATTAATGGAAGTGATGCAAAAAAGGAGCAAAGCCATTCATTCTTCAGGTATATTTGCATGTGTACATCTATATTTACTAAACTTGAAATTTTGAGTGTTACTGGTTATATCACCCTTTCCTAGCTTTCTTTGTGCTATTGAAGCATATATGGATTCTGGAGTGCACTTTTAAAAATTGCTGCCACTGTAATAAATCTGTCAGAAGCTTAGTGATGTCTGGACCCATACCCAAAAATTAGTAGTCACTATAAATTTGAAGAACAGCTTTGGGAAAATGACAGTCTCTTATTTCAGGATATAACAGTAGACTACTTGGTAGAGAATCTCTAAACAAGTCTTCAGATTCCTGGGTCTCATTCTTGTGGCATTCTTGTAACAAGAAATTCAAGGGCTGATCTGATCTGTGAGCTTTTGCAATAGGATGATGAAGCCTTACTGAGGTGACATTTGAGAAATTACCAGAAGGAATTTAAGGAGTGAGCCGTGTTGAAAACTCAAAGATGTGTTCAGGTGACAATAACAGTGTAAAGTCCCTAAAACTGTGAGATAGTAATGAGGTCATTGTGAAGCAAGGGAAAGAGTAGTAAGGGTAGAAAATTCTTGCTGGAGGAATGGCAATGATCCAAGCAAGAAATAGGTTGGAATCAGGTTCATAGTGCCAGTGAGGATTTAGCTGCTATATCTTTTTTTAAAGATTTATTTATTTGTTCATACAGAACTGGGGTACAGGCCAGAGGCTCAGGGGTGGCGAGAGGCTTCACCAGAGACAGAGTGGGGAACAGAACAGGCAGATCTACGAAGTACACTGCTGAGGGGAGCAGCGGGCGGATCAGGAGAGGTCTGCCACGCCACGTGGTGACCTCCGGGGCTGGCGGGAATTGAACTCATGCGGAAGTGGCTTTAGCTTCTCAGTACTGTGCTTTAACCTGCTGCGCCACCAGGGAGGGCCTAGCTGCTATATCTTACTTTACTTGTTAGGATCACTGGTAGGCTAGATGGAGGATTTTGTGGAAAAAAGGAAAGAGTGAAGAATGACTCCAAGTTTTTGAACCTGGGAACAACAGAAAGGGTGAAATTTTCATTAACTGCAGCGTAGGAGTAGAGAGGAGCAGGTTTGAGAGGGAAGAGTAGGATTTTGGTTTTATGCTTTTCAGATTTGAGATATTTTTTAAATTTTCAAATGTAGGTGTTAAATAGGCATTTTGTTATGAGTCTGGAATTCAGGGGCCCCTTCTGGGTTATTAATATAAATTTGCATGTCATGAAGATACCCAAAATGTTAGAAGTTACAGAACTGGATGACATCCTGAAGATGTGGGTATAAGTAAAGAAGAATTCTAACAAGGTTTGAGAGCTAGAAAACATGGTGTCTTAGAGGCCAAACGAAATATGCAAAGGAGGATTGGGTGACCCTTGGTCAAATGTGTCTCAGCAGCCAGGCAGGTAAGAGCTGGGAATCAAGTGCAGAAAAGGAGGCTGTCTCGGGATGGCCTGCTCTGCTTCCTCTGTGACCTAGTGCCAGTGGGGTTTCTCCCTGTCACTGAAATTAAAACTGGAATTGGTGTCCTGACAATGTCAGTTGTATTTGTTAACAAATTTTCTTTAAAAACTATTATTAAAGGGAGCTTTGTCTCCTTAGACTCTGACTTCTCAGAAAATCATTCTTAGTTTGCATTAGTCAAATCAGCAAGTCACTAAATATTCTTCTTGAATGACATTCTGATCTGTTTGGTGCACAACTGGTTACTTAAATTGATAGTTGCTGATAGCACATTTTCTTATTCTACCTTTTCAACATGGTTGGGTGTCAGGTAACATTCAGCAATTATTTGAACAAAAGTAGTATTGATTCACACCAATCAGGACACTGGAAGGCAGGGAAAATGTCTTGCCTCATCTATCAGTGTTCACTGTTTCGCTGAATGACTACGATAACTGGCACAGAGAATATTTTTAAACTGTGGAACAATATGGCAAAAGTTTGAGCTGGTAAGAGAAGACTGTTGAGAGTAAGCTTAAGTGACAAAGCTACTGAGAATGCAGTTCAGGCAGAATATTAAAAAATCACACACAGGAAAAATCTTACTGCTTATGTCCAAGAGTTAAAGGTCTTGTTCCAATCAAGTAAGAAAAAGAGAAGGTTCCTGTGAAATCTGTGATCATGAAAAAACATTCTGTTATGAGCCTTTGCTATATATCACTCTATAATAAGTTTTTAAAAAGTGATATAATGATTGGCATTGTATGAGAGCTGTGCTGATATGATGAATCTATAACACGTTCTTAATTTATTTTGGGGTCAGTTTCTTGTAATTGTTCTTGTTCTTGTGATAGTACTCAGTGATAGAATTATTAGCTCCTTCCTCCTCATCATCATCATGAATGCTGATAATACCTTATCTTTGTCTCTTTGTAAATGCCACTCAGCATGGGTAGGTGTACTTGATGCCTTCCTCCAGGTGAATTCTGGGAAGCATATTAGGTGAAAACTTTCTGTAGCAAATATTTCTGTTACTAGGAAAATGAATTCATGGTTAAGGTGAAGTTCATTGAGCTCCTTTTCAAATAAATTCTATAACAATTCAGAGCTGACCAGTCTGAAATCTAAAATTGTTGTTGTTAAAGTAAAAACTTGGTTTGGGGCCAAGGGAAAATATCTTTGCACCTCTTTGATTTTTGTTCATTTCCATGTTCAGATCCCCAGAGTTCAAGTATTTCATTATAGATACCTTCAAACAATCTCTGTTATAGGAGGGGAAAATTATCTTGTATTGTGTGTCTATATGTCCGTATATCCAATTCTTACTGACTCTCTTACTGGAGCTTTACCAAATGTGGTTACTCAGCTACTGTCTCATTGTACAGATTTGGTCTTTGTAATTTGGTTTTTTATGAGGTACGTAAAAATAAAAGGTTAGTACTTATAGAAGTTGGTATGGTGTAGAAGTATGTTCATAAAATTTGGTCACGTCTAAATATATTTTCATATACTTAAGTGTTTATTAGGAAGCTTCTGTGAAGCACTATTCTGAGATTCAGTGATAAGACAGGCAACATCCCTGCTGTACCAGAGCTTACATTCTAGTGTGAAGACAGTAAATCTATAGTAAAACATATGGTCACTGTTATAAGGAAAATAAAAATGACAGTTACTGATTGTAGGAGAGGTTTGCATTTTGCATACGATGGTTAGAAAAGGTCTCTCAGAAGAAGTCGTTTTTGAGTGACCCTAAAAGTTGAAAAAACTTCGCTAGAAGGAATTGCTACTGTGAAAATGGTAAAGCAGATAGAAGCTTGGCATGTTTCAAGGGTAGAAGTTGTTACTATAAACAGTGAATTGATGGCAAAATTATTTAGGGTTTGGGTGGAGACTTGGGGGAGATAGTAATGGGGATAATTTTATATGGTGCTGTAGAGTTAGGTAACAGCAGATTTTATTCAAATAATAGTAGTCAATTACTGGAAGATTGTAGGAATGATACAGCCGTGGTATTTTTGAAATTTAGAACTTAAATGCCACCCCATTTGCTCTGAAACAAGTGGACTATAGTTTCAGTATTCCAAGTAAGATATGGTGGTGCTATGGGAGTATCATGGAGTGGTGAGAATGAGCAGGCAGCGGATTAGAAATAGGGGGGATGGTGAAAAAAAGAACAATCAAAGTAATTTGTAGGTGTCTGCCTTAACGAGTAAGACAATGGTAGTATCATACATTGTAAAGGGCTTACTAAGAATGTCAGAGTTAGAAAGAAGCATGTTGGCAAACTTAAGTCTGGAGTTTGAGAATCCATGTGAAGAATACAAGGTAGTTTGCTTTGCTTATTTGAGTCCAGTAGAGGCACCAACCCAAATGTGATTTGACATGTAAGGAAACGTGGTTGAAATTTGTGGCAGAGATATTAAGGACAAGAACCCAAGTCTTCTGACTCCTGTTCTAATCTTAAACTCATCATCACACTCCTTACATGTACTAGATTTACTTCAAGTATCTAGATCCTTCAAGATTCAGCTGCTTTGTGTTCCAGAAATTGAGTAATTGGCACTGCCACCCATGAAGCTTGGTTATTTTATTTATATATGTGTTTTAATTGTTTCTCTTAATAACTTTCTTACAGATGAAGATGAGGATGAAGATGACGAAGAAGATTTTGAGGATGATGATGAATGGGAAGACTGATCTATATATTATATATATATATTTTTAAGGTGAAATACTAAACACTACTTTCTGTCTATGGATTCTGTAAAATTATCATGTAAATGTTCTACCAATTTGCTGTATATTTTTGTTGCCTTTTTTGCTTTTTTTTTAATTAATCTGTGCAATACCTCATTTAATCTGTAAAGGTTTTTCATAATCCTCTACAAAGCTACTCCCTGTTAACTGTGTGCAAGTTTACACCAGGATGCTCACTCAATTTGTGAATATTTTCCATTCCATCAACAAGGGAGTTGAAATACTATGTGTGAGACTGACAAAAACCTTAATGTAATTTAGTTATAATGCCAGAAGGAAAACACTATTTTCATACCCTACTTTTTCTGTATCTAAATTTTCTTATTAAAAATCTAGTATAGCACTACATTCTTTTTGAAGTGATGCAAACCTTAGTTTATTTAGCCCCTTTATTTCGAACACAATGCTACATGAATGTTGAAGCTGATACATTGCACAGTTCTCTGGACAACACTACACTGATGCAGTTCCTTAAATTTTAGCAACATGTTCTACATAAACTCACTTTGGAGATGCTACTCGGGAATCATCAGTAGCACCTTACAGCAGTATTGCCTGTACTAGACAGCAGTGGTATTTGGAGGCTGGAATTATAAGGAGCCCTTACATACCTGCACTTGACTGAATTTTTTTCTTTTTTCCACTTTTTAAAAAGACAGGTTTATTAGGACAAAGAAGAGGAAGCTTGCACAGATATGACACGAGTGGCCAGGGGAATAAAGCTGCCTTTTTTTTTTTTTTTTTTGATTGAAATTATTTTTATGCTGTAGTAAATCTGACAGGCTCTTTATGGCAAACTGAAAGAAAAAAATTTTTGATATTCTGAAATCAACTGAAAAAGTTTTCTTAAGTTGTTTGAGTTGGAGGGCCGGGGATGTAATTTTCACTCTACATGAATTGAAGGAGACTATACATTATGGTTACTTCACCATTTAGTGAAAATACTATAAAAATCAGAACATTATAAATATGATACAAAATTAAGTATTTTTTACTTTGCAGTTTGTATTCTCTGGGGTATTCCAAAATACCAACATACCAACCATAAGCGGCTAATCTGGTTGGAGACAGCATATATACTATAATATTGAACTATTATGCTATAATTTTTAAATTTTGATAATTTTTCAAGGTTTTTGTTAAATGTCAAGTGAAGGGGGTTACACTTTCTTGAAAAGATTGGTTCTCCCAATGTCAAACTTCTTGGAACACATGACTGAAAGATAGGCTTAAAAATAATAATAATAAAACGTTATAACCTGTACATTTGTTATGTATACTAAGTAATGTATTAAAATTAGGGTTTCCTTGCCTCTCTACAATTCACTAATCTGCCTGAAGGTGGTTGTTTCATATTTATAGCCCTAATTATCAAACCTACCTACTTTAAATTTTAGGTAGAAAAATGATCTGATTTAAATACAGACATATTTTTCTCACATTGAGTCATATGCAGAATGTAGTTCCAAATGTATTTCATTACTGTAGTCACAATATCCAACTAAAAAATTAAGCTCTCTAGAATTGTTGTACCGACCAAAATCTAGTATTGGCATGATCTTGACAGGCTGGCCCTGCAAGATGTGGCTTGAATTTTAACCAGTTATCACATAATCTCTAGTGATCATGCATCTAGTTATCATAAGAAATAATTTAAAAGGTTTTGTTGCTGAAAGCAGTAAGTGGTGCAGTAAAATAGTTAAGTTATTCAAATATGTTACCTTCCTTGCAAGAGTAATTTAAGCACATGGGGAAGATTCTAGACTTTTTGTTTCTTGCAAAACAGTGCCCTCTGCTGCTGGAAACCTTTTTCTGCTTACTGTCATTTTTGTTGTGGCTTGAGCTCAGTGAGTCTGGTGTGGATGAGGCTGGACATATACTAATTAATAAAATTAGGATTTGTGCAAGTGGTAAAAAGAACATAATTATTTTAAGCAACATTAGACATTTTCCATTATTTTTTCTTTTGACGTTATAAAAAAAGTTTATCTTAGAAATGTCTTAAAGGTATTGCCAATTTAAGATATCTTTTAACTTTTGGCCAAGAAATTCAGGGTTTTTGAGCTAACTTTGGTGTAACTATCAGAAGCTGCTCTGATCAGATGATATCAATCCTTGGAGTTGGAAACACAATTTTAAACATGTAAGATGTGTATAAACTCTGCCAAAAGTAATTGAATTTGTTTTTTCTTAAAAAAAAAAAACCATTTTGTTGTTGTTGCTGTACAGTCTAAATTACTATCGGTTGAAATGCAGCTGCTGTGGAGTCATGAAAACTAATCCGACTCTGACGTAAAGGTTGCATGTTTCAGTCTCTACCACCTGCGAGTGGCGGCTCTGTACCTGTACGCTGTCTGGAAGCCTCCCACGTACACTACCGCTAAGTGATTGGCTAGTAGCCTTGCCTTTAACAAACTAGCATGAGGCTTTTTATATCCAAGTGCTGTGTGATAGACAATTCCAGCTAGCCACATATTGTATGTATGAGATTCATAAAGACTTTCAATCATTCATTTCCATTTATCAACTGAAATTTTGTTTAGTATGTGAATTATTATTTTTTTTTTTTGAAATGTATAGTGAATAGGATGTTGCACTGGTGGCAATTCATCATGGAGCATAATAAAATTAATTTGACCCAAATAGTATAAAATAGTGCGTTTTCATTTGTGTATTGTTAAGAGAATAAATGGATTTAAAAAATTTCAATTGTGTAGTGAAGGGTACCCAGCAGTGAATGCTCATGGTTGAAGGGGTAGCCGCCTGCATGCCCGGAGAGTTGGCGTGTGCCGTTTCGTAAACATGGCGAGCCAAGGAATGTCACACCCTGTTCTGCAGGGAGACGTGACAGCTGCCCGGCGGCTCCCTGGCAGCCGCCGCTAGGGTGGACGGAGCATTCCCCCTGCAAGGTCAAGCTGCAACTGGCTCTTCACATGCCAGAAATGCTGAGGTTTCCTAAATCAGAATGAAAGTAGAGCTTTGGTAAAATCAAATGTAGCACTTCATATGGGACTGAAATAGTTCTTCATAAGCAATGTCAAAGATGGTGCTTAATTTAAACAGGAAACACCAGTTTTTGATAAATAGAATGTTTTGTTCTACTGACCCTGCTACAAGTGGGTGTCTGAAGACTAAAATGAGTTATGGAATCCAGCGTGTAGGATGTACGAAATGTCTTCTAAGAGTTTTAGCCAAATTTAACAGACATTTTGAGAATAATATGTTCTATTAAAAAGTTGTTTCATTGTACAAATGTGAACACTTAAAATGTACTAGCCAAACATTCTCTTTTTAAAGAAAAATTGCCTAAGAATTGTTCTTGTCACATTGTATTTACAGAGAAATTCCTGAAATAACTTACTCTGGGATAGGAATGTAGTTCTTGAAAGACTGGTATAGAGATAAGACCAACTTATGGTACAATAGAAAGAAAGTTCTTTATGGAAAGTTGAGAAGTTGTACTTTGCACACTTACTGACATGGTCACATCTCACCTTCAAAATACAGCATTCTCTTGTAATCTCTTGGCCTTTTATTCATGATTAAAAAAAAAAAAACCTTCGCTTTTTTTAGTGAAGCCAATGGGGGAAAAATGTGTAGTAAATTGGCTATTAATGAATAGATGGGGACCGCCTTTCCTTCTGTATGTGCTATTAGTACTTTGCTTTGCTGTGCGGGGAGTCAGCTTGTTGAGATTCTAGGTTTATACACAAATATCTAACCAAATCTGCCATTACTTATAAACATATATATACATTTGGGATGGTTTTAATATACATCATACTTGCCATTGTTACAGTATTTAATGTCACAGAACTCTGGTGTAAGTCCGGACAGGTTGTGGTCACCCCAAGACTGCCACATAAGAGCTGTATGACACTAATTTTGAGTAAACTATAACAACTTATAGGTTGTTCTTTGTTTAGTCAGGTATACCTGTACTGGGCAGTTTCTAGTGATTTTGATGTGGTTCCTGAAGTCTTTTAGTAACACCCCCCCCCCCAATTTCTTAAGTTTACCATAGGATCTTTTCAAAGAGGAAGTTCAGTTTTAACAGTATCAGACTGCACTATGGGACTTGAAGTCTCAAGTGTCAACACCACTTTATGTTTGGATAGGTTGCCATGTCTTGATGTAAATTCCATTTTAGATAGTGCTAGATGGAGGAGAATTTTCATAAGACTTTTAAGAATTTTTTAAGCATCAGTATCACTGTATTTAAGCAACTGTTTAGTAAGACTATGTGATAGGCATTTAAATGTAACAGCAGAGTAAGCTAAGTTTCCTTCCTCCTCAAAATCTAAACTACTTAGTCTTAAATGTGAGACCGTGGAGTCATAGCTAGCCTACTGTCATCTCCTCAGTGAAGTTAGACATACTCAGAATGGTTCGGTCAGCTAGAGGGAGCTACTATTAGAAGCCAGCTCTGACAGCTAGTTCTGTGTTCTTTTCATGCACACTTTTATGTTTACCGCATTTTTCTTTTTTTCCTAAGTTGTGGATAAGTTAAAGATTTACTTTGTTTTTGAAAGGTGCCTACCAATTTTGCCCTTTCTCACATATCATGTGGGTGTTGATAGAAGCTGCCAGTGTCCTGTTCCTCTCCCCGCCTGGGAAAGCTGGCTTGGTCTGAGGAGCCGGCCTCTGACTCTGAGGCATGTGATCAGACTTTGGCTCAATGATGGCGGTCACCCTACATTGTCCAAGCATTCAGTCATCATAGGACACTCCTGTCATTTAGAACAGAGTTGAGATAAAATACAGCTTTTGATTCTATATTCAAATGATTTTCTTACAGACGTAAAGGGATATATTACCACTATTTAAACAAGTATTTTGGAAGCTTTTATAATTAACTTGCCTGCCAGAAAATTAGTTTGAGAATGCATTAACCTTTCTGCATAATTTTCAGTCAACAGCTGCACTGTCAATTTAAAGCCCGGGAATTCTTCCAAGAAGCGCAAGAACAAACTGAACACTTTAAATCCAACTTCCTAATTTTCCTACTAGTGAGTGAAGGGAGATTCCAATTTGGTTACATGTACTTCACCCTAATTGGAAAAGGGGCAGGAAAATAAAACTTATGTCTAGTGTTTGTGGTGTTGAAACAAACAAAATAAATGGAAGACGGGCATTTTGTCCAGTTTACTCTCAGGAAACTAAGTTATTCACAATGTCACATGTCTGTAGTTGTCTGTGAGATCATTTTAATTGGCTTCTTAGATCAGTTTCTGAGTTTAAAGTGACACCATTTTCTTTTATAGCTAAGATGGGGGTCTAAGGAGGTGAGGAATTAAAATAATTTGTGTTTGTAAGCACATAAAGATTGGTGAATGGGAGACAGTAACAAGGCTCCACCCTGAAAAATGGAAATACAGGAAGAAGCTGATGAAATAGCAAATTTGTATATTTGATTTTTGCAGCAAGGATGTAAATGTAGATGCTACAATATTTATTTCTCAGCTGAAGCTCTCAGTTTACAACGGGTCCCAAGTCTTCTAAACTTGGCTGTGGGTATTTGCCAAGTGTTGCGATATAGTTAAAATTTGTAGTTAAGCAATTATGGAATGATAAGTGTTCTAGAATTATCATTTCTTTCCAACTAACGAAATGGAACACCCTAGGTTCTAAGTGGCTTGCTTAGGTAGAATGCCTGCATGCTTATATGATCAGATGCCTAAGGGGTTTAGAAAGTTCACATAGATTCTGAACCAAATGATTGCTTTAGATCCTTACCAGTGCCCAAAATTTTTACAGCCAACTCATCTGGGTCAACCTGACATGGTTTCAGCCAGTTAGGCCACAGGCCAAGACAGAAATCCTGAGCTCCACCCAAATCCTTTCACCATCTTTTTCTACTTTGCACTTTAGTCACATTGTTTTTCAGCAGCAAAGATGGTTTGATGGGAGTCAGTATTTTCACGTGTCTTCATTTCCCAATTATCATGCTACTGGCTATCGCGATAACTTGCTTAGGATAAAGGAGGTAAGGAGAAGCATTTGTTGAGCATTGGGGCTTAATTTTGATTCTGTAAAGCTTACTTCACCTACTATTTTTTTTTTAAGATTGACTTGTTTATGCATAGAATAACAGGTGTAGGCCAGAGATGGGGGTGGGGAGGGGGGAGAGGATTCACCAAACAGTGGGGAGTGGAACAGGTGGATTCACCAAAATACACTGCTGATGGGAGCAGCGGGTGAGACAGGAGAGGTCTGCCATGCCATGTGGGTCACCTCCCTGGCTGGGGATCAAACTGAGGCCCCCATGGTGATAGTGCTGAGGCTTAACTCCTAAGCCAGGAAGGCCCCTTTACCCATATGTATTTAACTCAAGTGAAATTTGGTGGGTTATTGAACAAGGTAGGGTACCGGAGGAAGAAGATACAGCTGTCTTCACTGTGTGGTGGCTATCACTTAGATGTAGCATTACCTTCTTATCTTGGTTTAGTTGCAATGTATAAAATAAAACTGCAGTAATGATCCTACACAGGAACTTGTTGATGTTATAGTCAAACATTGCCATATTCACACGCAAATCATTGCTGTGTCCTCATGTTGGAGAAAGTCCCCAAAAAATTGATGGAAAGGGTAGGCATTGTAAAAAGCAAAGGAATTTTTTGAGTGTTTTCACCTTCCCCAGATGCTTTCAAATGCATTAATGGGAGCCAGTGAGTAAGGCAGGAAGGAACAAAACTAAAAAGAAAGTTTCTGCATCATGTTCCTGAATCTTCAAAATCTCCCATCTTTTTTCAAAATTAGACAAATGCTGATGTTATTTTAATGTCCTTTGTTAAACCGAAGTATTTTAAATTATTTTTTTCTGTTAGTTGGAAATGGACTCCAGAGTAAAATCAATCTCTCATTCCCTATACCAGTCTAAATCTAAGATCAGAGTAGCAATAGAAATCCATGTGACTACCTAATGCAAAGACTGAGCAGTCAGGTGCTCCCTCTTCAGCTCCCACCTTCTCAGAATCTCTACAGTTTAGTCCGATTAGGAGTAGACTGTGTACTCCTAAGGGGTTGTAAAAGCCTGGCAGAAAGGCATGCATTAGTGAAGAGGGAAAAATCTTGACACCAGAGTTTGGCAACACTTATGAAACATTTCACTGAGGCCTCCAGGGGTTGGCTGGAGATGACAGCCTGAGGCCACTTAGGGTTAAGGTTGGATCTCTGTGTTCATGTGTTCCAGGAGCAGCACTGATGTATATAAAGTATTTATGGAACAACCCTAATCTGTGGAAATTAAACACAGCCTGTCCAAGTACAAGAAGGTTCTTAGCTGATTCCATCTCGATTGAGAAATAGCCATAGGTGATTTATGAAAGTTTACGTGACTGCACTCCGCATCTAAAGAGAACATTTGGGGAAATACGAAACGATTTATACTTGTAATCATTACCTACAAGCCTGGTAATAGATTCAGTGGTGAAAGTTTAGGCAAATTTGCAGACTTGCTGACTTTAGATTGTTTAATGCAGGATTGTTAATATTGAATTACTGCTGAGTTTCTCTTTAAACCTGGGAAGCATTTAAAACATTTATACTGTGCAATAATGTGTATCATTTAAGATTTTTTCAATAGTAAGGCAACATATCTCCATGGTGGTTTCTTAACAAAGGGCCGCATGGAATTTTGGACA